CTATTTCCTTTTACTTTCCTATTGTCCCACTATCATGCTCAGCCTTCATTTGGATTTCAGTAATTCCTCTTGGTTACATTACCCTTGGTCACGCCATACCAGGCCTCCTACACCCTCCTCACCATCGATTTGGATCACTTGTTCCCTTGTCCCTGGGTTTGCTAACACCACTTCCTTTCCCTCCACCTCCCCTTTTCCCTTGTCCCTCCGAATTATCAGTCCCGTTGTTTTCTCCTCCAGATTGTTCATCCAGCCTATCTTATTAGGCAGACCTGGAGTCTTATTGTTTAATGCTAATTTCAACCTTTAGGAAATGTCTTTCAGCTGCAATTCTGACAAATGGTATTGCATGTATATTTCCTAAGACTATTTGGAACCTAGTCAGTGAGCAGTAGTTCTTTTTTTTTTTTTAAATCATTTTATTGGGTGTAGTAGTTCTTAACATTATGCTTTTTAAATTCTCAACAGGAACCATTTCCATTTAATTTGGATGAATTTGTAACTGTGGATGAGGTTGTAGAAGAAGTGAATCTTTCTCAAGCCAAGGAGAATCCACCAAAAGGAAAAAGGAAAGATGCTCTCAAAAATAACCCTCCCTCTGAGCCGAACTTGAAAAAGAAGAAGGGTGAAAATTCTGCCCCTCATGTTGTTGAGGGAGAGTTGTCTTTTGTAACATTGGATGAGATTGGGGAGGAGGAAGATGCAGCTGCACATCTAGCACAGGCTCTGGTGACTGTTGATGAAGTCATTGATGAAGAAGAACTAAATTTGGACGAAATGGTGAAAGACTCTAATACTCTTCTTACATTAGATGAGTTAATTGATCAAGATGATTGTATTTCCCACAGTGAACCTAAAGATGTTACTGTCCTATCCATGGCTGAAGAACAAGATCTTCTCAAACAGGAACGCTTAGTAACTGTGGATGAAATCGGAGAAGTAGAAGAAATGCCATTAAATGAGTCAGCAGATATAAATTTTGACCCTTTAACTACTAAAGGAGGTGAAGGAAATACTGCAAGGGATTCTCTTGGCTTCATTTCTTCCCAGATGCCTGAGGACCCTTCTACTTTAGTTACTGTAGATGAAATTCAAGATGAAAATAATGATCTGCATTTAGTGACTTTGGATGAAGTAACTGAAGAAGATGAAGACGCTCTGGCAGATTTTAATAACCTTAAAGAAGAACTTAATTTTGTTACAGTTGATGAAGTTGGAGAGGAAGAAGATAGAGAAAATGATTTAAAAGTTGTGCTAGCACAAAGCCAAAACAATCATCCCACAGGTGAAAAGGGGGATAGAGAAAAGGGAGCCGTGGACACACAGAAAACAAACCTCCTCTTGTCTGAAGTAGGGCAAGTAGATGAGAATGTTAAGGAAGAAGATCTGAAAGCCATGATTGAAAGCCATTTTGCTGGTAGGTATTTGCCATTGGTAGTTTTTCTGCTTTATGGGGGAAAATGTTTCAAAGAGAATGAAAATACAGGTTGGCATTATGAATAATTTTATCCTGTAGATATAAGAAGCCAACAAAATAAGCATTTGTAGCCAATGATAAACTACAAGATTAGAGTAATCTGCATTTAAATAAGTCCATTTTCTAAAAGAGTGTTAAAATTTTCACAGATATCTTAGGTACAGAGCAGAGCTTGTCCCAAGTTATTGTACCTCTTTTGAGAAAAGACAAAACCTGAAAGGTAGAGTACCCAGATTAGAACTGAAATGAGGATAGCATACTTGTATTGTGGGGAAAACACAGCTTCAGATAAGCCAAAGGCTGTTGACCCAGAAATGTCACCCAGTTTTTCTTAAAAGATTTGACCAAACTAAAATTGAAAGGTCTTACAGGTTTATAGAACAAATTGAGAAAAATAATGTATACATTTTCTGGAATAAGATAAAATGGTGGGAAATGAAAGGAGCCTGGGTTTGTACTGGTAGTGGCCTTTTTAAAATTTTTTTAAATGTAATTCTATATTCGTAGTAGGCTTCCTTCCCAAGTTGGGATGTCAGTTTGTAAGAATAAGATGTTCAAAGTTGCTTGTTGTTCAAAGTTAAAAAGCAATTGAAATACTCTTACCATAGCAATAATTTAGACTTTTCTCTTTTAAGCTAAAATGCCAACCAAGAGAGTTAGAATTGGGAAGTCACCACCATCAGAAAAGGCTGATGACGCAGAGCCAGCCCAAGGTGCCGAGGCCCTCCAGATCAGTGAAGGTAAAGCAGCAGCATTAGTGGGCGTGGGGGCCAGTAAAATAGCACTAGATTGTGGCTGAAGTTCCAAAGATCGACCACCTAAGAAGAAAAATGAATAATAAAATAAGTAGTGTGGAGAAGGCAGCCTTATAATTATTAGATCTGTATAAAGATTCTTATCTTCCTAATTTGGAGAATGGGATACCAATAATAGAATTGGAAGATTTTGTGGAAAAGTTATTCCAACCATATTGCAACATCAGGTAGAAATCATGGATGCTTCACAGTGGCAAACAAGTGAATTCAATGTGATGTTCTTTGACAGTGAAAGTATTGTTGCAACAAATAGGAAACAGTATCTACTGAGAAATGTTTTCTTGTCTCAACAAATACCATTTTCTATTACATTTAGAGTAAAATGCTAAAAATTGCTAGGGAAAAACACAGTTCTGGATCTCAAGTTGTTGATTGACTTAGGAGAGGTAAAGCAAAAAACTATTAATAGGAGTTAAGCAGCACTAAAATAGGAAATCTTATTTTCTTGTTAATAAAAAACTACCATCCGTAATTCAGTCTAAGAAGTTTATTGATTCCCATCTCAGCCAGGCCTTCCACTAGTGTACCACAATCTATTGCAAAGCTCCCCGCCCCCTCTCTTTCTCCTATTTCTTTACCAAGTGTAGTCGTAGAAGTTTTCACTCCTTTCCTCACTGACTAACCTTGCTTTTATTTTTGTTTACCAGAACACGTAGAGAATCTCTGTCTACCAACTTATATTTTATCTGCATTGGTTCCTTGCATGTGAAATATGTTCTTGTTTTCCCATTATGGAAATGAATGTTCTTGGCACTGGAATCTTCGAAGCTCTCATCTTTTCTCCTTCCATTAAGAGCAATCTGAAATTAAAAAAAAATTTTTTTTAACTTCTTTATCTCCCATTTCCAGCTTCATTCTCTGTTACTTTCTTGAAATTGACCCTGATAAAACCCAATTGGATTCTGTTCAAAATATTTTTGTTTTCTACTCTTACTATCATTTGTTATGATTAATCATACCCTCTTTTTCAAATGTATTTGCCAGATACTCCTCCCTTGTCTGTTCTCTTTATTCCCAAGCCGGAGTTAGTGGTTAGTAATTCCACCTACTGTGAGCTCATGAGACTGTGGGGTTTCTATTTGATAGAACAGTTCCAACTACAAGTTGGCTTGGAGCTACCTTATTTTGACCAACTAATGTAAGAGATTATTTTCCCTTACTGCTTATATAATCGTTTGTGTCTGTTAGTGGGCAATATTGAAGAAAGAACCCAGCTCATGGAAAATTTATTCTTTCACAATTTTCAACCTAAATTATTCATTTTAATTTGAATTATTAAAGTTAGTCTTATAAGAAAACTATACCTTTGGAGTTGTAGAGCCAAATATTTTTTGATTAACATTGCTTTGGTTAGGAATAAAATACTGAAGGGAAGGAACTGGAGACAAGAAGCCTGGGCTTTTTTAATGGCCTGCTTAAGACTTGATAACCTGTAGGATGCGAGGCATAAAAAAAGAAGAGATGATGATTTCAAAGTTGTTTATTCACCCAGACTTGGTAAAGTCTACCTTAGGTAAGAGACCCCTGAATTCAAAGCTTTAAGTCCCAAGTGCTAGTCTTTCCTAGCTATGTGACCTTCAACAAATCTGTTAATTTCCTGTCAGTTTTATTTTCCACCTTTTTAAGATAAGAGGTAATACTAATTTGGTTATCTCTGCATATCATTTGCCTATTAAATCCCACTCTCCCCTCTACCTCAACACATTTCGTATACTTGTAATTACTAATTAACTTTTATTAATAATCATAGTTGATTCTTGAACAGTAAAGTATTAGAGATGCTGGCCTCCCCGGAAATTCGCTAAGAACTCAAAATTACAACGGGCAAGCACAGGCCCACTTAGACACAGAATATCTTTTTCCTCTGTTGGTTATGGCTTAAAGTACGATGTGAGCCTGATCATCTCCACAGGAACATGCTTAATAACACTTCCAGATCACTAGAAAAGCAACCAGGTGGGGAAATTCACATATAAGTAGGCTTGCTTAGTTGTTGCTCAAGGGTCTACTATATATAAAACTTGAACCTATACTATTCCCCCTTAAATTCTTTCTGAAATAATGTGTTGAATAAAATGTAGTGTTCACCTTATTCCCAGAAATCCATTTGATAAAAGCTGAGCAGATTTATCTACTCATCTGTTCCTCATCTTAGAGGGTTTGGGAAAATACTATGCAAAGAACGGGCAAGTTAAATTAACCAAGGACAGTTTTCATAGATGAGTTTTAAGTTTACCTTTTAAGGCAGGATGTCTTATCTGATACTAGCTTAATAAAGGCTCTAAATCTATTTGGAATATCTCTTTTGGGGGGAATAACTATAATTACTGTAGTTGATGAAGACTCGGAATTAGATGACTCTGAACCAGAGCATAAACGCCAGAAGATTGAGGACCCTTCTTTAAGCCCGTCAGAGGAACCTGAAGTCCCGACAGGTAAAATACAAATGCTTCTTACCATTTGAATTAACAGTTCAACGCCATAGTCAGGGTTTCGTTGCACCCAACTTAACCTTGCTTACGTGATTTTTTACTTATAGGGTGGAAATTAATTTTCCTAATTGGCAGCACGCTGGCAAGACATTTTATCACACTCTTGAAGCCCGAGGTGTCTCCTCTTTGATTCTGGTTCCTTACCACCATCACCACCACCCCACTCCTTTGGTTCTTGTGAATAATTGGTTAAAAGTGCGGGCTAGGCAGAAATTCCCGTTAAGCAGAACATGCTGTCTGCTAGGTTGGGAGAACACAATACCATCTTCTGTGTTTAGCTAGCATTCTTTAAACATGCCATTTCCCCTTTATTTCTCAAAGACGCAATGTCAGATTCTTAGCCAGTGAACTGGAATTCTGATGGGCTGTCAAGCAGTTCTTAGTTACCTAAAGATTTTCCATGGACATCTACTCAACTTTTAGAATGCCAGTGCCATGGCATTCTGGGAGATGCCAGAATTTGTTTTTATGAAAGAAAACACAGGCCTAGATTTTTCTATTAAAATTTAATTTTTCTTGACCCCTAGATTTGTAGCAGTATATATACAGTGCTTACATAGAAGTATATTATCATGCTTAGTATGTGTGTCATACTTGGATTTAGATGTTAATTAGCACAGCTGTAGATGAATTTTCTTCCTTTCGCTTCCCTTATTTTTTCTGTCCTCTAGATTTGGACTTTCTTGTGCCCAAGGCTGGATTCTTCTGTCCAATTTGTTCCCTGTTCTATGCAGGTGAAAAGGCGATGATAAATCACTGCAAGAGTACACGTCATAAGCAAAATACAGAGGTAAAGCGTTTCCTATTCTTAGCTCCTCAAAATCCTCCGGTGATGTTATTGTCTTAAATTGAAGTACAGTGAACCCTCGTTTATCGCGGTTAATCGGTTCTAGACCCTACCGTGATAAATGAAATTCCGCGAAGTAGGATTCCTTATTTGTAAATCAAATACTTTCGTAGTTAGAGCATAGAGGACATGAAAAAACACCCTTTAGTCACCATTACACTCGTATTACCCAATTTATTAAACGAAAAAGGGAAAATACAGTAAAACATTTTGGACGTTACAATTATCATTTATTATTTATTATATTATTTATGGCATCTAGTTTACAGTATTACGACTTGTCACGATGCGCTTTGCTTCCTTGTTGAAAGTGAAAGTAGCCGTAGCACGGATGTTTTTTTCCTCTTTACGGATAGAGCGAACGGAAGACTCATTCAAGTCGAAATGGCGTGCAACCTCCACGATTTTCTTGCCATCTTTGATCATATCCGAAAGTTTTACCTTTTCCTGGATGGTGAGCATCTTCCTCTGGCGCTTATTTTTATTGTCAGAAGGCTTAGAAGAAGCAGCTCGTTTAGGAGCCATCATAGGGCTTAGATAAAATTTCTTAAAAATCGCAAACAATTACAGTACACTGTACAAAAGCAAAAATGCATCTGATACGTAGCTCCGATATGTAGCGATGCAGACAGAAGCGTGTACAGTATGAGCCAATCAGTGGCAGTAATGACAGAGCATGCGTTGTTCTGCAAAAACCGCGATAGAGTGAAGCCGCGGAAGTCGAAGCGCGAAGTGGCGAGGGTTCACTGTACTTGTCTACCAAAAATGTACATTCTTTCCCTTTGGGAGAACATTTAAGGTTTATGCAAGTTTGTTCCTCTAAAGTCCAGATTCTTAGATTTCTCCATTAGCAGTAACATTTAGTTCCCCTCTGTTTTTTGAATAATACTTCCCTGAATAGATGCTACAGCTCAGTTAGTCTCGGATGAGCCACTATTAAAGTGTGGGGCACGGCTTTGTGGTTTAGTGTGTCGTTCCTCCACCCAGTCTCCCAGTGGAGAATCTCTCATACTGCATTTAGGAGAGTGTCTGTAAAGGGCCCGCCACAATCTGATTCTTGTTCTTTAGCCTCTCCTTATCTTTTAGGTCTACACGACCAGCCCCTAGGAAAGACTTTACTTACCTCACTGAAGTCTGCATACTCTTGTACACAATCCCCCAAGCAAGCCAGCCGGCTTCCTTCTGTTACCCTGTTATCGTTCCTTTCCACTACCCACACAGACTTTGTTTCTTACTACACAGACTTTATTTCTTACTAAGGTGAACCTATCGATCCAGTTGACCATGTATTCTCCAGACCAAGCATAACACTGGTGCATCATAAATATTGAATGACTGATGAAGGAAGGGAAAGAATGGTTACTATAAGGCATGATTTTTTTGATTGCTTGTTTTATAGGATCAAGGTCTTTTATGTGTAACTTCAATGAAATGCATTAAATAGGTTTACGTACAAAACAACCTCTAATACGTATTTTGTATTATAAATTGCTTTTAACAGAAGTTCATGGCCAAGCAAAAAAAGGAAAAGGACCAGAATGAGGCTGAAGAAAGAAGCTCTAGGTGATTAGGGGGAGAAGAAAAAAATTCATTAGAATTCATTGAGGGTCCAGTTGATTTGTGTATTTTGTTATCACTTAATTTGTAACTTTTGTTTCAGAGGCAAATATTCATGTTGTACAAATTTCTGATTGCCCTTGATATAGAGAGACTAATGAGGGAAAGTATGATGGGTTTGAGTTTTGTATCAGATCATCAGGCATGGATAAATACCTTTTAGACGTGTTAAAATAAATGTTCCTACTGTATATTTAAAGTATTGTCTTCTGGTTGTGATTGATTTATTAAAGACTTGCTTGCCAATGATTGTAGACAAGGTTCTTCCCTAAACACTGTGGCTTGGAATGTGTGGAAATCTGCATGTGTTTCTAGAATTAATAACATGACTGTGACATTGAGTTTCAACGGTTTCTTAAACCTCCCAATTTTCTGGATAAACCCCAATTATGTAATATTTGGTTCAGGTAGGTTTGAGTAAAACTTGCTTGGTTTTTTAATGTGTTGGGTTTTTTTTTCTCCTACTTTTGTTAACATTAACTGTTTCTGACAAGACCCACTTAAGTAGTACCTAACAAGTCATTTAGTATCAGCTTGGAGCTACAAAGCAGTTTTTACTTCCTGTGGACCCCATTTAAGCTATTTGAATTATTTAATATATTTGTAAGAACTGGTAAGGCTGCTTCTTACACCCCCCACCCCCCAGCTCCCTCCTGCCAAAATCAGTGGATTGATAGTAGGTACTATATACTTCCCTATAATGTAAGTTATAATGTAACTCATGCTCCAAACAGGATTTTTTAAAATAAGTATCTCTGATTCTTTCTTGATGAGCACACAATAAGAGAACGAAGGTGATTGTAGATAAATTTTTAAGAGAACTACTGTTTTTTTAGATTGCATATTCCTGTCGCAGCACAAGAGTTACAAGGCAGATGGCAAGAAGTGGAGTGAAGAGCAAACGGCAGCAACTTTTTCTTGCTTACCCGTCTTAAGTGCACACTCAGTAGAGGAACCCTGGTGGGTAGGTTGTATGTTGGGCTACTAACCACAAAATTAACAGTTCATAACTTCCAAATGCTCTGGGAGAAAAATGAGGCTTTCTAAATCCTATAAAGGGTTACAGCCCTGGAAACCCATCGGTGCAGTGCCCTGCCCTATAGGGTCCCTATGAGTCTGAATTGATTCAATGGCAATGGCAGTAAGCAGCACACGCCGCCCAGACTTTAAACCATAGCCTGAGCAGAATGACAGCCCAGTCCAGAGAAGTGGGGTATGGCTGGGTAGAGGGAGGGAGTGGCTTGTATTTAGATGCTGCTATAGTTAAATCCATGTGAATTAATGACTTAATAGGAGTGATAAGAGCTATTAAAGAGCTGGAGAATAAGTTGTCAACAAGTTAGAGAAATACAACTACTGTGAGCAAGTAGAAACCTTTAACATAATTTTCTGATGCTCTTCAACCGACAGAATTTATAACCGTTAATGTCCGCTGTATGTACCTTAGAATTTGTATTTAGGAATTTAAGTATGAAGCTCATCTCCTTTATCTGGGCAGAGGATATGTTCTCTTTTGAAATTGCAATTATATATAGAATAAAAGGAACCTACTAAAGCATATAAGGAGTTAAGGCTTTTTTATGTTTCATCCTAATAATAGATGTTGATAGTTAAATATAAAAACCAAATTCGCTGCCATTGAGTTAATTCCCCATCGAGTCATGGTGACCCATATTACATATAGCAAATAATACTCCTCTCTGCTGATTTTTACATTTAAGACAGGCTTTTTACCTTGGGTTATAAGTACAAACGATTTTGTAGAATTTTTTTGTTCTTGTTGTGTGTTTTGCATATAATCTTAAAAATGTTCCTCTTAAAAGAAACGTTCCTCTTTTTTTTTTTTTTTTTTCAGAAACCCTGTAACTCCTTTCTCCACTTCATGAACAGATGTCAATACATAGCAGCATCTTATTAGTTGGTTTAAGGATATGATGTGGATTGTAGCTTACATTAATTCTCTAAACATAGTATTTAGCTCTCCAGAACGCTTCCTGTGGAATTCTTTTTTTTTTAATGAATAAGAAACCCCAAACTAACAAAGAAAGCCTTCCCCTGCACCTGATACCCTGAATTCTAACTGCTATGCACCTAACTGTGAGAAAATAATTTTTTTTTCTTATGGAGGCCAAAGTCAAGTTTTAAAAACATTTTAATTTGTAGAAAAATTGAGCCTATCTTTTCCACAAATAGATCAAATAGGATTATTAAGCTTCATCTAATAATTATCTAGTTTCACCAGTTTGCTACTCAAGGCCTGTGATATGTGGAGAGAGACATGACATATATATATATATATATCTTCATTCCTGCCTCTCAGTGTGTAATAGCAGAGTCAGTTTTCTGATACATCCTTTGACCCATATGTATTTTTTCTAAAAGATTAGAATTCCTTTTAACCTACCCATTATCAATGTAAATGTTACTTATTTAAATCAAAACTCAGTTCAAATGAAGAATATTGACATTGATTTATCACCACCAATAGTAAACCAATAGAATGGCATTGTGGGCCATATGTGAGCATGTAGGTGTGTGTGTGTGTGTGTGTGTGTGTGTGTACACGTGTACAGGTATGTAAGTATAGTATGTGTACACCAATAAAAATATATGTATGTACACATATTTACCAAGAGAAGGGACATGATTACAGATATTCCTCAGACATAATCAAGCACCTTGTGAGAGCAGTTTTCTGGGGTTTAAGGACTTTAGTCTCATGGGACAACTCAGTTGGTGTAATATAGTTTACAAAATTCATGGTCTGCATCCTAGTGAATTTAGCAGTATGTGGGGTCTTAGAAGCTTGCAAGCAACTATCAAAAAGATTGGTTTGTATTTATCAGGAGCAAAAGGGTAAGAAGGAAACCCTTTTAGAGCAGAAACTATAGTCTACAAAGTGTGTAGCCTATATAAGCCAGAAGAACTGGATGATGATGACACCTGGCTACCACTGTCGACTGTTCTGGTCAGGGCCACAATAGATGGACCCTGATACAACAGGGGGAAAGTGCTCAACAGAACTTAACATCTTAAAACATCCAGATTTATTTGGCCAGTTGAGGGTAGAGGACTACCTGAGACTATCTGAGATACTCAGAACTTTTAGTTCAGTGGAGAAAGTCTGGCCTACCTAGAAGATCTATGAAGTCAGCAATAATCGCTAACATCACACACCACCAGAGTAGTTCTAGCTATCATATTAGTGGTGAGTTAATTAAATGTTGGACCACTGACCCATAGTGATGTTATCCGAATGGCCCCTGGCAGGAAAAAGGTTCCTCGCCTCTGCTTTAGCTAATATTAGCCCCCTCAAGTCATCTTTCAGCCAAATAATAGATGGGCACACAAAATGAAGGTCACTCCCCAGGAGTACAAGGCTTCCCATTAACATCTATATGAGACCAGAAGGTCAACAATGAAAGGTAGAGATACTGGGGTAGAGAAACTGAAGTACTTAACCGAAATGCAACGAAAGAATGTTGACATTGTAGAAAATGTAATTAATTTCACCGAACAATTTGTATAGAAGTTGTCAAATGGGAGCCAACTGTATAGTTTTACCATAATAAATATGTATGTATATATATATACTTTTTTAAGTTTGGAGCTTTAATTGTGTCAAATGATTTTTTTTTTGCTCTACATTGTTTGAATCAGTATCTAGATAGGCCCATACATTACAACTGATACACAAGTTTCAAAATTATGTTTAAAGATTTTCCCTCTTGCAATTTATTTGATGACGAATCCAGATCTTTTCTTCTGCAAAACAGTGCTGCTTAAAATGTTACCTTTGGGCTCCCCTCCTGTGCATGATGGAAACACTGTGGCTGTGGCTGCCCAGTGCTCCCCAACACAGGTAACACCTTCCCGCACGCTCTTCACTGCTGGTGTGTGTGACAGGGAGTCTGTGTGAATGGGGGAGGCGCCATCCGCGGCCCCGCCTCCTGTGCCCGCCCTGGTCGGCCTGTGCCCGGCCTCCCCCACCCCAGTCAGTCACCCAGGAAGCTTCCAACTTAAGGCCAGACGCACCCTCAGGTGAGCTCCAAGTAGAGCTCACGCAAATCAGCCTCACCTCTGGTCAGCCCGGGTCCCGCAGGAAGTTCAACCTCCGCCAGGCTGCGTTAATTATGATCCCTTCCCAAGCCCCACTAAGCCATCTCCGGAAGGCAGCCCTCCCCTCCCCAGCAGTTTACTCTGATCTGACAGCTTGGGTTCCTTCTAAGTCACTTTGCTGCGCCCTTTGGAATTCAACCTCCTCTCCGACTGGTGCTCCTCTAGGTCAGACCTGATCAGTCTTGTCTTCGCCTCCTCTAACTTCCATTTCTCTAGATGGTCTCAAGCCGCCAGCAGGGAACTGTCATAGTGCGGGGAACAACCAGAGTCCACTTGTCCCGTGCGACCCTGACCAAAACATGTTTTCAAGATTTCTCTTGGCTTTTGGCTTACTTCAGAGCCCAGTCCTTTTGCTTTTGTAGGAAACCTCTCAACATCATTCACTCTTGGAGCCTGGTTCCTCTGTAAACAAAGCAGATTATCATCTTCCCCTTATGTCCATGATGATAAGGTGACAGGCACCTGCCAGTCCCTGAACTCACCTCAACCTGAACTCCTCAGCCTGTTCTTTCTAGCCCTGAACTTCCAGGTCCTGGCCTGCCCCAGTCTTCCTGCCTCACCTATGGAATGCCACTGTCACCTTCTAGTCTCCTTGCCTTGGATTTGACTGTGCTTCTAAGACTTTAGAGGAGCCTTGGTGGCATAGTGATTACACGTTGGTCTGCTAACCACAAAGTCAGTGGTTTGAAACCACCAGCCGCTCTGTGGAAGAAAGACGGCTTTCTGCTCCCATAAAGAGAGTCTTAGAAATTCCCAGTTCTACCCTTAAACGGTCGTTTTGAGTCAGAATCGACGTGATGGTGTTGAGTTTGGTCTGAGTTTATTAGGCTTTAACCCTGCGAGAGCATACATTTGGGCTGTGGGGTCTTGTGTGAGGATCAAGAGGCTATGAAGTGTTGTGCCTACCACTGGAGGATAGAGCCCAGGAGTGAAAAATACTTTCTCCCCAGAGCATATGCCTCAAGTAAAGTCACCAACTTCAGCTTGCAGGAGTTTATAATCGGTCTTAAAAGTAAAGCCTGATTATTATGTTTTGACAAGCAAATTTAGAGGGATGAATCTTTAATATGGAATGTTGTC